CCCCCCCCCCCCAAGCGCCAGGAGAAGGTGATCAACAAGCTCCTCGTTTCAGCTGCCAAGGTGCCAAGAATCGCTCCCAGTGACGCTCAAGGAGGCATCGCATTGCCGTTCTCGTCTCGATCTCGTTGCGCACTGACTTCCAGATTTCGTATATGGATTGTTTCCTACTTGTTTTGCGTCTCATGTCAAGCATGGAAAGAATGTAGCGACGCCAAGGAAGGGCGTGTGTATTGTTTTCACTGACGATGTGGATTGATACTTAAACTAGCCTATACCCTCTCCTGTTCGACTATATATACAATACGTTTCGGGCATTTCTCGGTCAGTTGCCGACCGTGAGCAGCAACCAGATACTCGGCAAACCTGACGGAGCTGCCCAGCTGCGACCGGTTTTGTACACAGTGCCAAGGTCTCCACGCCGCAATCCCGGAACCATCAATGGTTGAGCCGCGCGGTGTATCCAAGGGCGACCCATTGACGGATGCAACGATGATGTAACCGGTCCCTGTGAACTGCCCCACCAAGGGAAATTTTCTTATCTTTTCATGGCGTGAACAGCCAGGGACATTCCGGTGTAGTTGTGCCCATATCGATAGCAGTCAAGTTTGTGCCAGATTGCCGAGACTCACATGGCGGGTGGCTTCGTGCAGTATCATGAACCGAGCAGTATGACCCCCATCGCAGGCAACGGAACCGCAAGCTAACGAGTGCAGTCGTTCAAATCCTAGTGATCATCTCGTTCTTTCTTTTTCTGTCGCTGGCCGAATGGCTATCGGCTAGGATTATTCGCGCCGGCATCATNCGCCAAATATCACAGTGCCGGCGAGGTACATATTTGCGAAGAGATCAAGGGCCAAAGGGGGTAGTGAAACTTTGGCTCTGGAGACAAGTATGGCGGTAAAGGACACTGCGGGTTCTGGATTAGCTCACGTGCATCATCATTCCAAATCCACAATGGGACATACCAAAGAAGAAAACAACAATCATACTCCCAACACGGATACGAATCACATGGTCCTGTGACAGCCCTTCCCTTCCTTCTGAAGCCTGGGTATTAGTTTGTTGTTGCGGCAAAGCCCCCGTATCTGGTTTTCTCATCCGCAGCATCTCCATTCCCGGCTCCTGAGCTGAATTCCTTGCAGCCGTATCCCCCAAGCCCGTGGAAACCGGGGGATCACCTTCCGGCTCGGGCTGCCGATTCCTATTTTTCCACGCACTCTTCGCTCTCAGAATTTGCTGATACACCAACCCATCCCACAGCACAGTAGCAACACCACCAGAAACCATAAGAATAGGGAAATACCAAAGTGCGCTATAACAGAGGCCAGCACATGCGCCAAAGATTACAAGGATTCGTGAAATTTTATCACGGATGGCCTTTTCAGCTAGCTGGACAGCAGCAAGAGCAATAATGCCTACGGTTGAGGCATTTAGGCCGGAGAGAAGAGCGTAGACTGGAGCGGGCAGTTTTTCATCGATCCGTTGCACGCCAAGAGAGAGTGCATACATGCCGATTGCGCCGGGGAGACTAGCGGATTAGTAAGTACATTACCTCAAATCACAAGAGCTGC